TACGGTAGGGTAAGGTAGGGTAGGGTAGGATAGATTAGGTTAGAGTAAGGTAAGTTATCTACGTTTAATCTAACACAAATTTAATTTCATTTCAAAGCCAAAAATTGAGTTTAATTGGCCAAGCCCACCCATCACTATATTATTCATCTTTTTGACATGTGTTCCAAATTACAGCACGTGTTAGCTATACAAAAACTAGTTAAAAAGAAGTAAAACAAAGTAATTGCTTTCAGGGAAATCAAACTTAAATGAATATTATTACTTTTCCCATCTTTTAACCACAAAGGCCCTGAGGCGTTTATGTTCTTAATAAGAAATTATTCAAGTTTTCGTTAATTAGTTTATGAAAAGAATGCTTTTAGAATAATATAATTAAAAAAGAGTTTAAAAATAAAAAAACATTGCTACTGAAAGACTAACATATCCTAACCATACCCTACCCTACCCTACCCTACCCTACCCTACCCTACCCTACCCTACCTTACCCTATCCTACCCTACCTTACCCTACTCTACCCTACAAAACAAAAACTCATGAAAATCAATCATATTACCTCATAAATTAAATTTTGCAAATTAAAAAAACGTGTTCGAGAAGAAACAATAAAAAAGAAAAACAAATTTGTAGCGTCAAAACATAATAAGCCTAAACGCAAACGAAATTTGATCGAAAAAACTAGCTAGCCAACGGTTTTCTCTCGTTACTTTGCGAGAAAAACTACTTGACTTGAATGCATGTCCACACCCTTCCCCCCTTGTAGCAAAGAGCCAATAATTATAGCAGATAAGAGGTTTGCACAACATGTTCAGTAGGTGACAAAAGACATATTTATAAAAGTTCATTCTTTTGGTGCATATTTTGTGTTCTGGTTCAGCAGGTCATTTTTGAAAATTAAAATTTTAGAAGGCTGGTTTCAGGGGCGTCGCTACGGATTTTCTTTGGGGGAGGGGGAAGAGAGGGGGGGGAGGAATAAAAAACATATTTTGCCCTTAACATGAAACTAAAATGCCCCTCCCCTGTTTCATCCTTCTCTAGCATTCCTTACTTTACAGTCGACTACCCTACCCTACACTACCCTGATCTGTCCTACCGCCTTTCCTGTTTTCTTTCACTCTAACGCAGCCTTGCCTTAACGTACCCCTATCCGAGTCCTACTACCGTCATAGCCTAGCCCTGCAATCCCTATATCCCAGCCTTACCGTTGCCCTATCATACCAAAAATTTCTTAAAATCTGCAAAATATTTATTACAGTAAGACATCCATAACGTTTGTTTACAAGCCATTTTCCCTACAAAATGACAAACAATTTTGAATGCATTTTTACACAAATTAAAACCAAAACTTATTTTTCATTTTTTAATGAAAAAAAATGTTTTACTGCGCAGTGAAACTGAAGCTACCAACTTTAAAATCAGCTGATCGGTAAGTTTAAAGTTTTTTAGTTTTTGGGTCAAACTCGGGGACCTATTACAGTATAAAAAACCGTTTCGCACTACAGTATCTTATCTTAATCTATCTGCACCACCTTTACTCCCCTCCCCCAAAATTTGTTTTAAATGTTTGAAGGGATACGTATTTTACATTACCCCTACGTCAAAAATCCTCCTTCCCCCCTTCTCTCCCCCTCGCCTTCAAAGACCATAACCCCCCCCTCCTCAAAAGACCCATACCTCACCCCTCCCCCCTTTCAAAACAGTGCCTCAACAAGTGACCACAATAATTTGCTTACAAAACCCCCACGAATCGGCCTCGCAAATGGGATTGCGATCCCATAAAAATAGCCTCTGCCACCCGCAATTTCACTCATTTAATGGTATCCGTTCATGTTTACCCTAATTTCGCCCCTATCAGCCATCTGGCACAGCTGGCTTTGAAGCGCAACTGAATCAATCATTCCGAAGGAAGACGTATCTTCTTCATCAAGTTTGAGACGGCTACAGTGGTTTTTCGTCCATGAATGTCATTTTCAGCATGCATTTTCAAAATTTAAAAAAAATTTTAAATTTCGAAAAAAATTTCACTTTTCAAAAAAATTTTTTTTGAAATATAATTTTTTTTTGAATTCAGAAGTTTTGACTTCCCGTAGAAACCCCTAAAATCTTAATAAAAACTATAGTAACCCTAAGCACTAAAATTTATATGTCATCCCCAATCCCAATCAAACCCCCAAAAATAATCGTTAAGACCCGTTCACGTTGATGTCACATCCGCAACAAATTTGACATTTTTCAGCAGATTTATTTACCATTAACCCAAATACCTTTTTTTATTGAGTTTCAAGCGAAAGTGCATTTTAGATTTTATTTTAAAGCTTTGAGACTACTCTATTTTACTCGACTCGTATCCTACCCTACCCTACTCTACCCAGAACGACCTTATCGTACCCTACCCCCACCCTACCTTACCCCTCCCTACCCCGCTCTACCTTACCAAACAGTACCTTATGCTATTCTATCCTACCGTACCCTACGGTATTCCACACGACCCTAACATAAGATAGCCTACCCTATTCTGAATTAGACCGCCTTACTCTAAAATACCCTACTCTGCGCTACCCTATCCTTCCCTAATCTACTGCTAACCTACCCTAACCTACCGTACCCTTAAAAGCCTTTTATTTTTCTAAAACTGTATTGTACAGTACACAGTTTATCCTATCTCTTAAATTTGCCCTACCCTAAAATCCACCCATTTCAAACCTTGACCCTAACATAAAAGCTACCATACTCAAAATTTATTACAAATTATACTCCTATTATTAAAAAAAAACCCCCCTCGTCCTGGAAAACCGCCGTTTTGTTTTCAGTACATTACGCATAAACTTAAAAGACAAACAGATTCCACACATTTTTTGACCGCATTTTCAATTTTCAACCACATTTATAAAATTTCATCAAATTTTGAAAAATTTTCAAGTATTATTTTTTCAAGGTCAATTCTACAAATTTTCGGACCAAACAAGTATTTCCCTTTGCAAAGCCCATAATGCCTCCAGCTGAGATATTTTTGCAAAAAATAAATAAATAATTTGACGTTGCGCAAGAATTTTTTATCCCTAAAAGCCCCCACCCCCAATGGAGATAAAAAGGTTATAACGTTGGGAGTTAATCCGTTTTCGCTTTTCTTAATGCCCGGAAACAAGATCAAAACTGCGCCAAAATTTATGTTTTTGCGAGAAAATGAAGGGGATTTATCGCGCATTAAAATGACATTGTAGATTCACGGCACAGTAGCTTATTTATGACAATTTTTAAGAGATTCATGACAATCAGTAGCAGACAGTAAAACATGGGAATATGTACAAGAGTAAGATAAGGCAGAGTACGGTAGATTAGGGTAGAAGAAATAGAGTAAGTTAAAGTAAGACAGACTAGCCTACAGCAGAGCAACGCAGAGTTAAGTAGAATAAGGTAAAATAACCTTGGATAAGGTAGAATAAGGCGAGGTAGGATAGGGCAAATAAGGGCAGGGTAGGGTAAGGTAGGGTTAACTTAAAGCAGAATAAATAAAAACCAATTCCACCCGCTAAAAATTTATGCCAATAAAGAATTTTACGACAACGTAGCTTATTAATGACACAGTAAAAGAGAAAATTTATTAACCATGCCATTATTGGTTTGAGGTCAGTAAGCTAGCTTATTTAGCTTATATTATATAGAGCGGACAGGTAGACACCAAAGATTGCTTAAAAATTCTTGTCGCCAGTTTACATTGATTGTAACGGTCAAAAACGACAAGAAATTTTTAAAGTCAAAAAAACTTTTAAAAAATTTTTCTTAAATTAAATATTAAAAATGTCGTAAAATGCCCTACAACTTTACAAGCTCTTAAAAAATCTTTAATAAAAATAGCAAAAAAGCTGGAAAAAAAAATGATTTTTGGCTACAAAACGACTTGTTTTTAAAAATTCGTAGCAACCTTAATAAGCATTTTTAGATATTCAAATATACCACAAATAATCAACATACTATGAGTCTTTTCAGTGCCGAGTTTAAAGTCCATAACGTCTTTCGAACAAAAGTTATGACTAAAATACTCCACAGGAAATTATCCGATAACGCAAATATCAATTGTCACAAAACTGACCAAACCTTTATCGAAAGGTGACGTTGAAATGTTAAAATTTTTAATCGAAAGTCGACTGTTTACAAAATCTTAAGGATTTGTGACGACGCACATCTTTGTTAGACCCCGTTACGACCTATTAGCCTCGTTCGATCGTACGTAGTTGTTATTTACTTCTTCGTAAAACAACAAAAAATTTAAATTTCAAAAATTTAATTAGAAAAAATAAAACAGAAGACACGGTGCGGTTCGTATTTTACATTTTTAATAGGAGAAGTTTAGAATATTAACGTTAAGATACCATATTACATCGTATCATACCATACGCTACACTATTCCAACATACTTTACCCTACTTTACCGTACCGTACCCTACCCTACTCTACCCTGATCTGCCCTACCATACCTTACCCCCTCTCACACTACCTTACGCTATCTTACAATGTCCTATTATACCCCTTCAAAGCCTTATCATACACCGCAACTTCCACAACTTTCCCTGGCGACAATGGTCAATATATCCACCTTGACAGCCATAAAACCCAGCAAAAGTAAATTCCATCACAACATATATTTTTTATATTATAGTTTTTGCAATCGTAAAATGCTCCTTTTCCAACTTTTTTTGTTTTTTCCCTCTTTAATGATCTTTTTAATTACCATAGCGCATACCTATGACTGAAGAAGCTTCATAGTAATATATTTTTAGAAAGATCAGCAGTCAATATAAAAAAAGTTAGTTATAATGCATAGTTATATGTAATGTATAATGCATTCTATGTAAAATATGCTCTAAGCTGTAATGTCAAATTATTTAAAAAATTATTAAATTAAGGCGGGGGTAAAAGTGAAAAAAAAAGTAAATTTCAAGCCATCTACGGCTCATTATTCTATTTTTTCATTTTTGAAGTACAAGCCCTGCCTAAAAAACTTTTTAGTACCACTCTAAAAACCGATATCTCTTGGTCTCCCTTTAGCCAAATTTTTTTTCAAGGCCGCTACCCTTACCATTGAAATTCACCCAATTAAAATTTCAAAAAAAAATTTTTCAAAATTTTACCCTACCCTATAAAACAAATTTCCAAATTACCCTCTTTTCTAAAAAGACCCAAGTCCAACCTTTTTACTAACATGTCAATAAAAATTTCAAAAAAAATTTTTTTTTAAATTTTACAATGCCCAATAAAAAAACAGTCCAAATCATCCCCTTTTCTAAAAAGTCCAACCATCCACCACCCTAAAATTCAAAAAAAATTTTTAAATGCCACCCACCGTCCTTATCCATCCTCATCAACGCCATTTGTTTAGCCGCCTCCTCGTCCAACGACTCCTTCTTCCTTAAGGCCTTGTGTTTGTGCATGAGTTTGCTCATGTTGTCGCACGAACTGCTGCGATGAACTTCTTTGATTTCAGCCAAGCGACCTTTTGACGGTTTTAGTGGCTTGATCGCTTTCAATGACAAGGTCGATCCGAACTGATCGGTCTGATATCTGGTCAGACTTTTTCGCGACGGCTTCTGGGCTTTGTCTAGCTGTGTTAGCTTGGTCAGTGCTGGGTCTGGCTGCGCTAGCTGAGGTTGAAATAGCTTTGGCTGGGTTTTTTGATTGTCATGACGATTTTTAGAAGTATTGTCATCAAAATTCAAATTCTGGTCCAAAACCCCTTGGCCAAGCTTGTAAGAACGATCCAACGTTTTGGCTTCAAAATGGTGATTTGAAGGCTTTAAAAAGCCATTTGCCATTGATAAATCGGTCGATGAATTGAGATTTCTAGTAGAACTGGCCAAATAACCTTTCGATCCCAGTAGATGCCTATTTGAACCAGACAAATGGCTAGCGGATTCATTAAGATGCTTAGATCCATATCTATCTTCACTCTGATATTTAGCCCCTAGATGTCCATTAAAATTCGCTACATGTCTAGCAGAACCCTCCAAATGCCTTCCAGATCCCATAAGTGTACAACTAGATCCATCTTCACCATGACCTCTCATTTTCATCCCATTCAGTCCATAGTTTGAGCTCTTATACCCATTACATCTGGTCAGTCCAGGTGGATGAATTAAGCTTACTGTAGAATCATTCAAACTCGGGTTTTGATACAGTAATCCACGTTTGAAAGCTTTTGTAGAATCCCGAGGGTTTGTTGAAGCTATGGTTACCGTACTACCATTTAAATTCTTCGTAGAGTACAGTAGGCCTGAAGTTAGGCTTGATCTTCTTTGTCTTTGGCTTGAATGATCAATTTGATAGCTGCTTTGAAAGGGGCTTTGATAATGATTCTGGTAGTGACTATGATGATGATTTTGATGATAATGTTGTTGCTTTGAGCTTCTACTGCCACCATGGTGGTCAATACTATAGGTTGATCCATAATCATTTGTACTACAATATTCAGAAGACCTGTTGAGTCCATTTTTGCCATTATAACGTCTATTTATTCCATTTAAACATTGATTGATAGCCTCAAAACGCCCATCATATTCACCATGATCGGATATTCCAGTAGTAGAAGCTGACCTTTTACTTTGTTGATTACCAAACCCTGGCCGATAGTAACTGTTAAAGCCACTAGATAACTGTTGGTTTGATCCGAATACTCTAGAGTACTTCATTCGTTGATTCTTACCCATCTTTGCTTGATCTGATGAAGCCGTAGACAAGTTTTTAATGCTTTTTCTAGTACTTTTTGGGCTGCCAAATGAAAGTAAAGAACATTTCGAGCCTCCAAGCTTGCTTAGTTCATAACCAAAACGACTGAAGCTTAGTAGTGATCTTTTGTGAGGTGGTATGACTTCAGATTGTGTACTATCACGACGGAATCTCAGCGAAGTTTTAGGCTCTTTAAGGTGTTGCCTTTGAGATTTGGGTAGATCAGCCTTGGAGGTCATTGTAGGTGGTAGAATTTTGTTAGTACTCGTACTGTAGTTGTGTTGTTCAGCATTGTTTTTAGTACTAGAATTGGTACTTGCTATAGAAGTAGGGTTAGTAGTTGAGCTAGTACTAAGCTCAATGCCTGCTTTAGTACCAATTTCAAGGCTTGCTTTAGTACTAAGTTCCATACAATTTTTAGTACTAAAACCGGAACTTGTTCCAGTAGACATAGCTTCTCCATACATCATCTTCTGACCTTCAGTAGCATTCTTGTGTCCTTCAGAATCCAAAACAATAGGTTTCACAACCTGAGTAGCTCGATGAGGAACATAAGCTTCTATATCATCAATAAAGGGAATGTCTGATCCAAAGGTAGTGTCATTTTGAACTGATCCTTCATTGCAGTTCTCATTTTCTTCATTTAGACTTATCATAGGTATTGTAGCTTCTATAAAATTTGACGTTGGGCCTTTAAAACATTAAAATTGTTAAAAAAAATTTAAAAATCATTAAAAAACCAAAAAAAAGCAAAAAATTTTTAAAAAATCACCTTTTTTGAAAGCATTGTTGTTATTTGGCTTATCAATACAAATATCATCAATCTCCGCAACATTAGCAGTAGAAATATTATTGATCTCCTCAACATTAGCAATAGAAAAGCCAATGGTCTCCTCAACATTAGAAGTAGAAATAAAGCCAGAATCATTAGTAGCTGTAGTAAAAACATCAGAAGTAATAGTATCTGTATCAAAAATACTGGTTATACAATAGTTTGAATCTTCAGATGACCACGATGATCTTTCTGTTATCGAGGGTAAAATACGTTGCTTAGAGTTCTGTACAGCTGATTGAACTGATTCAACTTGAAGAGTTCGTTCTAATGGTGTGGCTTCAAAAGACTGGTCTTTAGGTTTGGCTTCAGAAGACAGTCCTGTATCTTCAGCTTCAAAAGACTGATCTTTCGACTTGAATCCAAAAGACTTATCAGTAGATGTACCTTCATAAGACCCTTCTGTAGCTTCACAAAACGATTCATAACGTTCCCTCGAGCGTTTGCTCTGTTCTGTAACCATTTCTGCCTGATTCATACCTTTATCGGCATCAGTTGACAATAAAAATCCTTTGCAAGGTTGATCCAATGACTTAGTATGCCCAATCTGTAGCTTTGTAGATGTAGTAGGCATCAAGAAACTGTTGTCATCTTCTTTCAAAGGCTCACATTTTCCCAAACCTTTCATAAAACGTTCTGTAGCTTCGATTAAACTCATTGGTAGATTGATCTCTGTGGTCGAATTGCCAAATAATTTAGGTCTTGATCTTAACTTTACCTCAGTGAGATCATCACATCGTATGTTGACTTCTGTAGCTAAACTTTTAGTTGAGTTATCCTTCATCTCGGCTAAAAAAGAGCCGCTAGGCCGTGCCAAATCGCCTGTAGAACGTCCAAAACTATCAACAGACCGTTCCGAATCGTTCCCCGATGGTTTCGATCGTTCCATAATCAAGATAGTCAATTCTTAGCTGACAAACGAACGGAAAAAACGGCTTCGAAAGCGTGTTAAAAGAACATATCCCTTAAGGCATTAAAGGCTTTCTCGCTTCGCCGTCCGCAGACCAGTTCTAATTCGTTATCAGTGGAAGAAGGGATAGGAGATTATTTGTGGGAAAAACCGTTTTCTTGTTGATTCGAATATAAATAGTTAATTACGTAATGGATTTGTATTGATGGCAGGTTAATAGGCATGCAATGAGTTTGGGCGAGAGTAGGGCTAGGGTAGAGCGAGGCAAAGGCTAAGGTAGGACTAGGGTAGGTCTAGGGTAGGGCTAGGGTAAGGCTAGGGTAGGGCTAGGTTAAAACACAGTGAAGCTAGGTTAGGCTAAGTTACGACTACAGTACGTCTAAAACAAGACTCGTGAATGGACAAGGTAGTGCTAGAGTAAAAATTCTTTGCTATTATAATGACAAATAGGTCCAAATTATAAAAAAAGTACACGATATAAGTCCAGATTGCCCAATAATTATACTTGTTAAGCAAAAACAGTCCTAAAATGACTGATTTCATTCAAAAAAAATTAAAAAATTTAACGTAAAAAAACCATGCAAAATTAAATAACACCCCTGGAGGCCCTACGTCACCATCAAGATCTATAAACAACCCTCAAATACTAAAAACACCCCTCAATTGCTAAAATGTCCCAAAGTTCTATAACTACCCTCAGTTCCCCAAGAAAAATTTAGACCCCCAATATCACTTCCAGGATCCAAAGAAAGTCCTTAAAACCTGAAAAAGCTCCCCCCCCACCCACTAGGCAAAGCCGAAGCAAACTTTAAAATTTTCTGGCCAGACCAGGCTAGCAAATGTAGGCCTGAAAACCGGGGCTCAAACCAAGGCCCCGGAAGCCCAGCTTATGTCTCACAACAGTTTTAAAGGCTTTAAAGGTATACCCTGAGTTTAAAAAATCAACATAAAATCGAACCAATCTATTACGATACAAGTCCAAGCTACATTTGTCCAAAATAACCTCTTTTATAAGACAAATGTTTCTGTAATACCCAAAACACCCCCAAAATTTAAAACCAACCATCGAATTTCTAACATACACCTAAAGTTATAAAAACACCCCCAAAAGCAAAAACATAAAAAATCAACCAAAACCACAAAAAAAGTCATATAAACCAACCTCGAATAGTCCCCAAGATCCAAGTGCTCTCCCCTCTGCCCATTGTGCCATTTTCAAGTTTATTCTTTCGTCTCTTCAAGCTGAATCTATCCAAAGTAGCAGTACCATTTTGTACCAAACGCTGAGTTCTTCTTGTTAACGTTGAGAAGCCATTTGTGATCGGTTTTCTCGGTAATGTTGCACTTGCTTCGATTGGTGGCGGTGGAACTCTTCGGCCGGAATCGAGTCGTAACGTTGGTAGACCTGGCGATATGATTCTTGAGGCCTGGAAAGATAAAGTTTTAGGTAATAAGTTAATTAAATAGGGAGAATTTTAATCAAATTAAGACTTTTACATAAAATAATGTATGTTTCAGGTAAGACAATGGACGTTTTATATAAAATTGTAAGTATAAAAGGCCTATTTCAATAAATTTTAGGTATAAAAAGCCTCTTTTCATTAGATTTTAGATAGAAAACAAAACTGTTTTTTAAAAATAAACAAAAAAATAGGTAGTTTTATCAATAAAAACTCATTCTAAACATAAAAAAATTATTTTTAACATCCTCTTTGTAAGAAAAAACCAACTTTCCTATCCATACTGCACTAAAACAATATAATTTAGACCTCAAAAGAGTTTTCTTAAATTAAAAACAGTATTTACCTATTCAAAAACACCTAAAATCCATTGAAACACATAGAAAATTTAATTTTACAATAATATTTTATAAAATAAATTTATAAAAAACAAAATGCCAAACAGTTTGGCTCATGAAATATTTCGCTTCGAGACTTAATCTGTATTTATATTTTTTGTGTAAAATACGACGGCTTTATCAGATATTAGAAAACCTTCAAAATCTAATAAAAAAATTGCAAATAATTTTTAAAAAATTTAAATTGCAAAAATTAAAAAGTTACATTTCATCCAAAATTTTATTGGAAAATTAAGGCTCCCCAGATTATAAAAAAAATAAAAATGTTATTTTGCATACTTGTAAATTATAAAGAGCCCATTTTTGGTATTACAAAAAATCAATACCTTTTGTGACATTTCGTTATAAATTTAAAATCTTTAGAAGATTTAAAATGTCTTTTTAATTTATACGTAAATATAGAATGCCGATATAAAGTAAAACCTCGCTATATTATACTACACATACCTCTGGATTTCTGTAACAAACAAAAGTTAGATCGTCGCTTCGAAACACACAATAACCGCTTTGCCAAGGAAGGCTTTGCGGTAAATGGTTGTTGAATGGGCAAGCTAAAACAATGCCTCAAAAAAAATTTCACAATTTTGTAAAATACGCACTACCAAAATCCGGCTTGTAAAAGAAAAAGGCTAGGGCTCTGAACTAGAGCTCTGGGCTAGAGCTCTGGGCTAGGACTCTGGGCTAGGGCTCTGGGCTAGGGCTCTGGGCTAGGGCTCTGGGCTAGGGCTCTGGGCTAGGGCTCTGGGCTAGGGCTCTGGGCTAGGGCTCTGGGCTAGGGCTCTGGGCTAGGGCTCTGGGCTAGGGCTCTGGGCTAGGGCTCTGGGCTAGGGCTCTGGGCTAGGGCTCTGGGCTAGGGCTCTGGGCTAGGGCTCTGGGCTAGGGCTCTGGGCTAGGGCTCTGGGCTAGGGCTCTGGGCTAGGGCTCTGGGCTAGGGCTCTGGGCTAGGGCTCTGGGCTAGGGCTCTGGGCTAGGGCTCTGGGCTAGGGCTCTGGGCTAGGGCTCTGGGCTAGGGCTCTGGGCTAGGGCTCTGGGCTAGGGCTCTGGGCTAGGGCTCTGGGCTAGGGCTCTGGGCTAGGGGCTCTGGGCTAGGGCTCTGGGCTAGGGCTCTGGGCTAGGGCTCTGGGCTAGGGCTCTGGGCTAGGGCTCTGGGCTAGGGCTCTGGGCTAGGGCTAGATCTGTGGGCTGTGGGCTATAGGCTATGGGCTAGAGCTTTGGGCTAGGGGCTCTAAGCTAGGGGCCCTGGGCTAAGGCTCTGGGCCAAGGCTTTAGGCTAGACTTAAAGCTAGGGCTAAAACATAAAGTTTAAAGAAATCTTACTGTAATATCGAAGCCATCCTTCGTATTTTACGCCGCATCTTTCGTAAATGTGCTCGTCTACCTGACCATTCCGCAACATGAATATTAATTGACAGTATAGGTTTTACCCTGAAAAAGATAATTTGTAAAATACGCTTCAGATACTTCAACAAAGCCTTACAAACTGTTTCATAACAAAAATCGTGTATCGTATCCTTTTAACTCGCTTTTATGTTATAAAAGTTCAAAAAATTTATCAAAAAGTCATCTTAAAACTCAAAATTTTAAAGATAAGCCCAAAAATCCAGTAAAAGAACCATAACATACGGTAAAACCCCAAAACAACCATAAATTGATGACCTTAAAAATGCATAAAATATGAAATAACAAAACTTATAACATAGTAACTATTCACTTCGTAAAACAAGTGGATGGTAACTCTAATCCCCCAAAAGCATACATTTTACAAAACACATAAAAAAGATGAGCTCATTTCTTGAAACAATGATTCAAACAGATAGTCTTTCCCTTCTGTTTTATCGTCAAATGCACTTCTAACGGTTTTTACGTAAAGTTATGACGCGGTTTGGGAAAAATATGAAAAATAACAATAAAATATAGTAAAACCCCTGTATAATGAACTCCTTTATAACAAAGTATACCAAAACTTCTTTATAACAAGCAAATTTAAAATTCCCGAGCAATTCGTTATACAGAGGTACTATATTTTAACTAAGGATTTCATTGTATTAACAATATCACTAAAATGGTCCTGTTGGTACTTTTTTCAAAAACAGTGACAAAAGGTTTCTTTTTAGACTTATGATAAAGGCCAGGGGTAGAGTGAGAGGAGGTACGACAGAAGGCTAAATAAAGAAGGTAGTAAAATAAGTAAATATGTAGGGTTGGGTAAAAAAGGTAATATGAAGCAAGGCAAAGTAAAACAAAAACATGTAAAAAAAAATTTTAAACAATAAGAACTAAAAATAGCAAAAACTTTTTTTAAAAAATAGAATGGCGAGAGCTTTCTTTAAACAACAAAATATTGTAATAACTTTCTTTACAGAACGAAAAGTAACAAGAACATTGTCTACAAAACATAAAATTGCAAGAACTTTCTTTGCAAAATAACAAATGGCAAAAAATTTCTTTACAAAACAAAAAATAGCAAGAACTTTCTTTACAAAGCACGAAATGGAAATAACTTTTTTAACAAAACTTAAAATGGAAAAAATTTTTTTTACAAAACACGAAATAGCAAAAACTTTCTTTACAACACAACAAATGACAAGTACTTTCTTTACAACACAAAAAATGGCAAAAACTTTCTTCACCAAACAAAAACTAATCTGAACATCTTTGCCGTTCTTTCATAAACCATTAGTAATACCGTTTCTAAGCATTTTAAAAAGAAATCCGCCCCTTAGTTTCAACAAAAATTAATAAGAATGCATTTTCCCTTCAGTTTTTACCCCAACCCTCTCCCCCCTCCTCTCCCCCCCCCCCAAATTTTACCCTAACCTTTCAAACCCATTTAACCCGTGCTTTCTTGTTGTTCCACTTTGTACCCTGCCCTACTCAACTTTATGCCCAACCCTGCTTTCTACCCTACCCTACTTTCTACTCTATTCTTTCCCCAGCCTTTCTCCCACAAACCATTCATTTGCACAGGTAACAAAAGCTGATACAGTGGCTGATTTGTAAGAACAAAACCCGTGAAATCCAAAACCCTTTGAGGCTGAAAATAAGGGAGGGGGAGGGCCGAACCTTCCCCCCCCTTTCTTTCGCCCCTAAACATCGTCCCCCCCTCCTTCCCCCCTCTGTTGTGGTCACTCTCGAGAAATTCAGCTCGAGAGTCGCGCACAAAAAGAATTGTTTTTCAAGTGGGAAGCCTGAGGAACGAAATGGACAGGTGAACGACCAGTAAATAAAATGAAACAAAAAGGAATGGCACCTAATTAGGAATGGGAGCGGTAAAGGGAAAGAAAGGGGGGGGATACACCTGCGCTTTTGCGAAGGATAATGCTTAAGGAAACGCTTGTTTGGGCTATTTAGAAAGGGGGGGGGGTGGAGAGGAGAGGGAGGAGAAGAAAGGAAGGGGTGGAGGGGGGGGGGTATAAAAAACGAATGATACTGCAATGTAAACGTTATTTGTTAGATAAGATGATAAGGTAAGTTAAGAGAGGGTAGGGTATGAAACGGTAGAGTAGGGTAGGGTACGACAGAGTAGGATAGGATAGAGTAGGGTACAGTAATCCAAGGTATGTTAGGGTGTGGTAGGGCTAAAAAATAATTTTGTTTGTGATTTTGCCCACCCCCCCTTTTTTTTCAAAATAACTTTTAACCACCCACTCCCTCCCCCTCTCAAAAATAATCTCTTCCCCCTTCCACCTCTCCCCCCTCCCTCTCCCTCTCGCTCTCCCCCCTCTCCTTTCTTCCACGCCTATTTCTCAACCGTTTGCTTAAACCCAGCTTCCTGTGATAAAATGTAAAATACGTTTACTACAATAAGGTTACCTTGTCAACTACCGAAAAATAAAAAAATAGTTTTAAAACTGCAAAATACAACTATTTAATTTCACAAAAAATGTCCAAGAAGCTTTGACTGTAAAAAGGTTTGCAAAAGGAGAATGGGCAAAGAAGCCCTGGGGACACAAAACGAAGGAAAACCCGACGGTTCATATTAGTAATAAAATTATAGAGTACTAATTCAAATTAAGAAGACGGGAAAAAATGGTTTAAACTGGGGTGGGAAAGACAGAAGAAAAGAAAAGGGGGAGGAGGAAAGTGGGCAGGGTATGCAAATAATGTAATCAAAAGAGAGGGGGGGGGGTGGAGAGACGGGAAAAAAAAGTAAAAAAAAATTTTTTTTAATATTTTTTTTCAGACAGAACAAAAACTTTCTTTAAAAAACAAGAAATAGCAAGAACTTTCTTTACAAAACAAAAAATGGCAAGAACTTTCTTTACAAAACAAAAAAATTGCAAGAACTTTCTTTCCAAATCAAAAAATGGCAAAAACTTTCTTTACCTACCTTAAAAGCAAAAAATAAATTTTTTAACCTAAAAAAATTATTTTTTTTCGAAAATTAATCAAAAAATTCATCTTTTCAACTTTTCCCCTCGCCATGATTTATACCTATTCATGTTTGAAATCAGATATCCACAACATTGTAATGTAAAAACATAATTCCGAGGCTCATTACCCATGTAAAGAACATAAATTACCATGTTTTTTCCAAAGTTATTTTTTTGGAAAGACCGGTCATTCCTAGAAGGAAGATTCTTTACTCTGTAAATGCAATTACATGGTCATTAACGCCAAAAAACATAAAAAATATTATTACTAATGTATGTATTTTGACTACCCTACCCTACCCTACCCTACCCTACCCTACCCTACTCTACCCTACCCTACCCTATCCTACCTCGCCTTATTCTCCCTTGTCCCACCTTATTTTACTTTTTTCTACCTTACCCTACGTTTATCTACTGTAGCCTAGCCTATGTTATTTTACTTTATTCTACGTTTACTCTAGTCTACCTCATTTTAACTTATTGTGACGTAAAACACCCTACTTACCAAATGTTTATAAGTCAAATTACAAAATCTCGTATTTTACAATTAAAAACCATTTAAAAGCCTACAGTTTAAGACGTTCGAAACCTCTCTTGTTCTTTGCTATTTTTATATTTATTCATAATCGTTACCTGTTCACAAAAGCCGTTCTTTTTTAGTAGAAAAAGTTCGAAAAATAATTCAAAATAATCAAAATGAGTAATCGTTTTTCAATAGCTTTTCATAGTTTTAACTTTAAAAATTTTTTAAAATTATTTAGGTAAAAACTTCCGTCATAAAATTTAAAAAAAAGTTTTTCAAAATCTTATCCCAGTCCTTACTCTAGCCTTATGATGGCACTACCTTCCCCTCTCTTAAATGTTCATTAGCGATGCCGTATTTTACCGATACCTTACCATACCTTATCATATCTTACTACAACTTATTATACCTTTCCATGCCTTACCATTCCTTACCATGCTTTACCATGCCTTACTATTCCTTACCATGCTTTACCATGCCTTACCATACCTTACCATGGTTTGCCACACCTTACTCTACCTTACCCTACATTACTCTACCTAGTCCTAAACTAAGGACCCTAGCCTTATTATACCATGCCTCTACCCTAACATAGCTTAACCTCAATGTCATCACTTCTTATAAAATTTATTTTGTTTAAAAAATCGAAAAAAAAAACTATATTTTTAAAAAAGCTAATTAAAACGTGTCATGATGACTGTGTGTTTAACACTGGTTAATCGCTTCTCAATCAAAAACAATGTTAAGTGTTTGCAAACCCTATTATCAGCCAAAGAGCCGTCACGATTTGAATGGCCACTTATCACAAAAACGAACGTCACAAACGAGGAAAATCGAGTTTGTCTACAAGTTTTGGTAACATTTACTACCATTCTGGTCTATAAAAGTGCTTTAGGCATAAATTACTTAAAGAAGAGTAGCAAAAACGCTACTTATAATAGATAACAGATAAGTAACAGTAATAAGTAGGTAACACAAGTTACAATAAGCATTGAACTAACCATACAGTATTGCTTCAAGCTTTGCTTTAGCCTTAGATCAACTCGTATCCAATAAAATTTCTAAACACATGCTTTAGCTCAATCTACACCTTGCTTTAGACCTATCTCAAAACTTACCTTAAGCTTTACCCTAACTATATCTTAGCCTTAACTTTGCATTGCCTTGCTTCAACACTAGGCCTACTATTATTGTTATTCCTTAGCCCTAACTTAGCCTTAGCTCTAGCTTTATCCTAGCGATGCCGTAGCCCTACCCTAGACCGGACATCTTTTACCATACCCTACCTTGGCGTATGCTTATTTTTGCTTTACGCTAACACTACACCTACTACTATAATCATTTATAAGCCCTGGCGTAGACTTACAGTAACATCGCTCTAGCTTTACTTTAGCTCTACATTAAACCGGCTACAATCCTACCATACCAGACCCTATCTTCATCTATGTTTAATAATGTTATATTATTATATAAACTAACATGAAATTTGGTAAAGTAAATAAACATACATCGAAACGTGCAAAACAGCTAGCCAAAAAAAATCTTTACAAAAAAAGTAATTATAACAAGTTAACTTATTACCACCCTCACCTCACAACATAGAAAAACTCGAGCTTTTCCAACCTAAGAAACGATTATAAGCCATGATGATTCAATGGCCTCAGGAGCGCGTTTTTGACCCGTTTTACAAGAGATTTTAACTTTTCTCACCCAAAAAGGAAATCGAATATTATTTTTTTTGAAATATTCATAAATTGGTTTAATCGCACGAATTTGGGGCACAATTTACGCCGAACACAAATGAGTCAAAACATTTCTTTAAAATATTACTTTAGTCTTATTAATTGTTGGAGGTGGAAATTAGCGCGAAATTATAATTGAAAATGTCACCCTGAACCAAGAGGGATGGGTCAAAATATGTTCACACGACAAGCAAGAAAGCTTATAAAAATGTAGAAAATAATAGCGTAAAGCAGGGCAGAGTAGGACAGAAAGTAGGAGTGTAACGCAAAACATGGCAGGGTACAAAAAGTAAAGTTAAGCAGAGTAGGGTATAGCACAAGGAAAGGCAAAGGCAAGTTTAAATTTAAAATTTTAGTTTAAAAAACTTATAAAAAAATTTAACACTTTTCTCCCTCTCCTTACCCTTCTAATACATTTTTTAATACCCCCCCCTTTTCCCGCCCCAACCCCTCCTCTTCCTCTCTCCCCCCCCTACTCATTTCCTTCATCTTTCCTTCCAACCTTTTAAAAACATTCAAGAGTAACCCACTTGCAGCCATCTTGAAAGAATTATTAAAATGCCCTCTTTGTAATGAAAATCCCGGAATAATAGTTATCCCCCCCCTCTTTATGTGTCGATTAAAAATAGCGAAAGGAAAAGCTGTCGAAGCGGCATTGAAAGTACAGTTAATTACAGAGTTAAAAGTAGAATAAAGCTGTTTTATACAATTGACAGACCTTTTAGTTTGTAAGTTTTTAAAACAGTTTTGACTAGGCTAATCTACGTCTATACGTTAGAGACTCAGCCTGAGTCTGAGTTTGAACGTAAGCATAAGAATGAGCATGAGCATAAGCCTGAAGCCTGAAGCCTGAAGCTTGAAGCCTGAAGCCTGAAGCTTGAAGCCTGAAGCCTGAAGCCTGAGCCTGAGCCTGAGCCTTAGCCTTAGCTTTAATAGTGCTTATTACTGTTTTCGTATTTTACATTTTATCTCAAATTCAAAAGCAAAGTTTAGCGGTCAAAAAAACCACCCCAAACGTTTTTTGTTGATACGATTTTATATGTGTTTTTAGCACATTTAATGCATTCTTTTCAGTTTGGCGACACCTGTCGAGGAATGTTTGGTCAGCCATGTTTTTATTTGTTAGCCACAAGCTTCCACAAGATTAATTGGTTTTGCTATAAGTTGAGGAATTTCTGGTAGTATTTCAAAAATTATACACATTTTAATGTTCTTCAAAGTTTTTTATTAATATTATACAAATTTATAAACGTGCAGAAGCCCTATCTTAAGTTTTCAGGTTTTCGTGGTGGGACCACCAACAAATAATTTAAAAAAATGTTTTGTTAGCTTTTAGCATAATCAAAATAGTCTTGGCTAGACTTGTAAAGAGGCCGGACCAGACATGTCTTGAGCTCTAGTAAACCCTTTTTCATTAGTCTAGACTATAACGTCTTTCGTTTGCTTTAATGGCAACAAAGATTGATAGCAAAATGTAAGATATAGTATTATTTATACGTGTGCTAATAAACTTTGGCATAAAAGATTAATTTTTTTTTGATTTTATGTTTAATTCATGTATTAGGTTAAAACTTTATTCTGTAAAAATAATAGTAGTACCAAGTAACAGCAAAATGGCAAAAATTTAGCTGACGTAAAATAAATTTAAAAAACAGTTGATAAAGCATTGATACGTCTATTTATTTTGAAAAGAAAAATTTTCAAAAATTGATAACATTATTTTACCTTCGCTTTGTCTTTTCAATTGATGTTTGATTATGATGTGATAACAATTAGTATAATCATGGTATAAAGGTTTTGAAATCTACAATAACAAAAAAATTTTGATTTTTAATTAGTATGAAGCACGTGGCATTAAAGAGCACGTGAGGTCGTTACTAGGCTTAGAATCTGGCGTAGAACAGAGTGATTTATGATTAGTGTCAAAAGCAGTGAATATTAAATTTTTTTAAATTTTATCTTTGGATTTACCTTACTTTTACCTTTCTTTTAAGTCTAGACCTAGTTTTTCTCTTGATCTTAGACTCTTTTTTGCCTTAATCTTAGCCTTAGCTTTAGCTTTTGCTCTAGCTTCAATCTTAACTTTAATCTTAGCTTCAGTCTTAGCTGTAGTCTTCTTCTCAGGTTTTGTTTTACCTTTAGCCTTGGTTTTTGTCTTAATTTTACTTTAATTTGAGTTATTGTTCTGCCTTACCTAACCCTTGTCTCAACTACTTTCTTAACCTTAGTCTCTTGGGGTTATCCTAAGGCTTAGCACTAACTTTGGTTTTACCTCAATCCTAAATTAACCGTACATTAGTTTCTTCTCAGCTCTAGGACGAGCATTTTAAATGCCGAAAGCCTAGCTAATCGTGCGATCTCAAACTCCTCTGTTTAAATCAGTAGCGTAGGCTTGAAAGCTAGAGCTAGGGCCTAGCCTAAAATTTTGAAACGGGCCTGAGTTTGCACAAATAGTGGTTTTGGAGCTCAGAGCTGGAGCATTGTTTGAACAAAATTTAGAGCCGGAGCCAAAGAGAAATCTAAAAATTTCAAAAACGCAAACACTGACCAAAACCCTTATTTGACCACTTACTTTATCATCGTACTTTCCTCGTATCACAACGGAGAGTACATTTCAAGTTCGGTCGTATTTTGAATGATTTTGAATTTCGTGTGAAATCGTCTCAAACAGCGACGACATTCAAATCGCAATCATGGAGAATGCGCCACGGAATTGATAAGAAAACGTCTATTAAGAGGACAGGAACGCGGGTCTGGCTATTCGAAAAAACAAACCATGATCTCTCAACACGTTTTCAGCGTGCTGGTTGCGCTACCGTTCCTGGTGGTGCTGAAGTACTTGGCACGGTTGGTGCCGTATGAAAAGCAGGTAAGTTTTAAGTTTTTTAAATTTGAATTTGATTTTTAAAAAACTTGTAAACAAGGTAGTAAGTGCATCTAAGGGTCTAAGGGCTTACAAATCTTCGCTAGGCCAAGAATTTCTTTGTAAACCCGAGGTCCCGATCTTTAGGCTTATATGTGCTGAAACAAGAAAGAATGTATTTTTTACAGTAAAATACATGCTGTACTGTTACAAATTAAAAAATTTTTTTCATTTAGAAGTTTTTATAAGGATTCAACTTTGAGCGGTACGTATTTTACATTTTCAGGGCTTTTTTTGCGATGACAATGAGATTCGATTGCCATACCGAGAAGATACAATTGGAACCAACACTATGTTGGTTGTGTTTGGCATTGTTGCTGTTATTTTAGTAAGTTAACACTTCTGAAATATTGTGCTTTGTAAAATACGGCATTGTCATTCTTCTGTGACAAATTTTTAAAATAAAAAATTTTTAAAAAATAGATGTTTGATGCCCAAAATACTCGTATTTTACCATAGCCAATAATGTTTTAAATTTAAAAAAATAATTTTTCAAATTTACAGATGACGATATCAGAGTACTCATTGGTAAAGCATTTGTCAAAGAAAGGAAAACGAATTGTGACGGAAAACAACAAAGTCCATCCTGTTATATTGACAATTTTGTTTTTCTTAAGTAAGTTTGTTTACTTAATTTTTCGAGAGCTTGAGCTTTAGCCTCAGCCTGACCTTGAGCCCAAGCTTGAGCTTGAGCCTGCGCTTGAGCTTAAAACTGAGCTTGGGGTTGAGCTTGAGATTGAGCTTCACCTTGAGCCTAAGCCAGAATCTAAGCTTGAATCTGAGCCTGCGCCTAAGCCTGAGCCTGAGCCTGAGCCTGAGCCTGAGCCTGAGCCTGAGCCTGAGCCTGAGCCTGAGCCTGAGCCTGAGCTTGAGCCTGAGCTTGAGCTTACGCTTCAGGTTGAGCGTGAGCGTGAGCTTGAGCCTTAATCGTAGCCTTTTCTTTTGCTTCAGTCTTAGCCTTACATTTAATCAACCCTTAATTTTATAGTCCTAGTTAAATCATGCTTTAACTTTGTATAAATTTTCTTACAAGCTCAACTTTGTGATCCCAACTATATTCCGGCGTATTTTACTCAACACAAAAAATATTTTTCAATTTTTTCAGTATGCATTATAACCAACGTGTTCTGCATTCAAACAACCGTTGGTTTTTCCAAACGTACCGTTTCAAAACTACGACCAAATTTCATCGCCGTCTGTCAGCCAGATTTGGTGAAGTTGTGTAGTAATGAGAATGCTCATAAATTCATCAATGATTACAAATGCTATGGTGAATTTCGGGAAGATGAATATTACAGTTTTCCTAGTGGACACTCGGCTCATGCTGTCAATTTTGGCGTCTTTATGATTGTAGGTTTGACATTTTTTTGAGCTATGATGTATGTTAATTTAGGAGGAGGGGGAAGAGAAATATTTTTCTTTATTTTAAAAAAGTTTGATTTAAATAAATTAAAAAAAAATTTTTTGTCGTTTTTTCCCGTTGAATGTAATGCAAATTGAAGACTTTTTCAATCTTTTCAAATTGCATGGAAGAGATAGAAGCATCGTATTTTACAAAAAAAATCGTTTTTTCAAGTTAAAAATTTCAGTTCTACCTCCAACGTCGCTACAAATTTCGTGAGCCAAGTCGTGCCTTCCTCCAGCTAGGCCTCTTCTTCATAACCGTATTCATCTGCCTGAGTCGAGTACGTGACAATAAGCATAGATTGTCGGATGTAATGGGTGGTGCTGCTGTTGGTGCACTATTCGCCTGGTTCTTCTTACGACATGTCCTATATGACTTTAGATTGAACAGATATGAAACTGTGGACACGGAAAGGATGGCTGATAAGTACGAAGGGTACCACAAGACTGGGTATGAGGCTGTGTGAAAGGCGACTGATTTGGTTCAGTAATAAGAGAGTAATGTTGTGATATGAAGTTGAAGCTTGTACATTGTATAATATTTTTAAATTTTTATTAAATTATTAAAAAATTAATTGAGTATGCATCGATATATAATATTACACATGATAAGATTATAACTAAGAAACTTTGTTGTAAAATACGATCCTTCTTGACATTTCTTAAAAATAATATTTAACTAGTAGAATTTATTTTTGGCTTATCTTAACTACCACTTACGATAGTTATACGTTTGTTTTACTTTATCTTAGCTTGGATAGATAAAGTCCAGAATTACGTTAGGTTAGAACTAAGCAAAAAGACAAGTTATCCTAGACCTACTCTTGCTGTACGCTGGCCTTGGCCTTACAAGAGACGGGTTTTATTAGGCCTTGCAGGATCCATAACCTAGCGCTTCTTCAGTTTGTTTTAGTCCTACCGCCGACCTAGTCTGGTATACTTTAGACCAAGTCCAGCTCTCCCTAACACCTAGTCTAATTCCATCCTGGAATTAGTCTTGCTCGACTCTAGAACTAGACTAGCCTGCTCTAAACCTAGCCTCGCCTTTCTGTAGATCTCTACCTGCTCTAACCTGCTCTAATCTTATCCTAGAGATACTACATCTCTACTTTAGACCCAGCTTAGTCTTCACCTGAACCTACCGTAGCTTTTCTCTAGCTTCAACATAAACTTACTTAGCCAAACCCTACGCTACCTCTAATTCCAGCTTGATCTTTAACCTACTACATATAGCCTTCTTCTACTCATAATACAATCTTACTGTATCTCAAGCAGTGTATCAATAATCTTAATCCATTTGAACTATAATCCATGTTCAAAAGCTTAATCAGCTAAAACCAATTAGAGATATCTCCTATCAATTGTAAGAGATTTCAAAATAAATACAAATTTAGGTATTATAACATACATCTTTATTTGGTTACCATAGTATTGAAATCTCGAGAAAACATCCTAATTGTAAGAAGATTTGTTTTTGAATATACATAAGCTTTAAAAAAGTGTGAAGATTGTAACTTTACACTAGTTTTTGATATAGAAAGTAAAGCTTTGGCCTAAAGTAGGGATAGGGTTGGACTAGTGTAACAAGATTTTTAAGGCTAGATTGGGGTTAACGTAAAGTTAGAGAATAACTAGAGTAAGGCCTATGGTAAGATCTACTGTAAAACTAGCGTAAAGCAAGAAAAGGGTCACAGTATGGCTAGGTTAGGGCTTGAGGAAAGCTAGCGTAGGTCTAGAGAGGCCGTTAGTAGGCCCAGGGTAGGGCTGAGGTGGAACAAGTCGTCAATTACAAATTTATGTTTACTAAACTGTAACAAGAGTTAGTTTTCACAAAAAGTTTAAACTGTCATTACTTTTCGAAAAAGGTTAGTGTTTCAACGATGAATCTGCTTCCGTGATTATTCGAAGAAAGTGTGATGTCAAAGTTTCCATCAATTATTTCTATTTTCTCTAACTCTTTATCGTCTCTATTTTACAAGACTATCTTGAACGTGGTGTAAAGTTGAACGTTTGCAGTGTATTTTTAAGTGGTTCACAAATCTGTAGTTATCAATCATCGATGGTACAAACAATTTTTTGTTTATATTATAGTAGAAGGTGTGGTGAAAACGTTAAAAACTCATAAAATTGGCATAAAAATACAAAATAATGAACGAAAATAGTAAAGTCATAATTTTACAAGAGTAATATTTTGTTGTATACATGAAAGAAGATTCATAACTTTATATTAACAAAGTTCTTTCGCAGCGATCACAGAAAATTTTTTCGCAAAACGCTTTTTCGCGGCTTTTTTTGCGAATAAGTTTGATTTATCTGACGATTTCTATTCGAACTGTGGCCAAGTTCTTATAAAACATCGTTGTGTAGCTTAATTTATTGAGACCTAACCTTTGTCAACCTATAATCTACGGTTTCACAACAAAAAAAAAATATTTTGAACGCTAATTCGTGAAGTTATATCAGGATTTAACCTAAAATAAGGTCCAGCTTTTATTGGTAAGTCGTTTATCTTGTTTTTTTTGTTGTTGATTTAGGTAAAACATGTGTTGGTATTCTCAATATTATTACTTTTTATGTTTTTTTCAAATTTTAGGTACGATTTTGATGGGTAAAACGAGCTAAGATTCATCTTCCACTTTGGGTGTTGTTGTAGCTCAAAGTTTGGGTAACAGTCGAGAAGTTGGTCTTGTTTTGGAGCTGAAAACATGGAGAATCAACAGGTAAAATATTGCTTTATGTTTGTTCAATTTTTAGGTTGAGTATCAATTTATAAAACATGCTAGAATTTGACTTTACATTTGAATGTTGTTTTAGGTCAATATTTTGGTAACAATCAAAGAATTGGTCTTTCTTTGACGCTCAAAACATGGAGAATTGACAGGTAAAATATTTGTCAATGTTTTTTTTAATTAGGTGCAATTTGCAATCAGAATGTGCTAACGTTTACCTTTATCTTGATCTTATTTTAGTTTTCTGTTTGGTAAACCTTTAGCATTTTTTAGCTATAAACCTTGGTTGTGAATGTTACTTTAGGGATAAAAGTCGTCTTTGGGTAGTAGTTTAACTAAATCTTTGGTCTTTGAGGTATTGATTTAGATTAGTCTTCATGACTTACATCTCTATAATGTTTTAGGTAAATTCTTCACTTTCAGATATTATTTTACGTTATAAAAACCGTCGGTATAAGCTTATACCTTTGTTTGTGTCATCACAAAAGTATACTGCAATATCCGTAACTATTTTTAAATGTTTTAATCATATCAAAATCGTTTTTCGATCGTTTCCCGATGTTTTTGCAACCACGACCAGACTATGTAGTGAAATAATATGCACTTGAATCAAGTGATGATTTATCAGCAGTTCCTGACGTTTCTGATCTTTTCCAATTTCAACCCCACTTTAAAATTTTTCGTCTTCTCTGCCAGGTCTCTTCGTTTCGTGTAGTCTTTTCGCCATGTGAATATCATCGAGTCATTTGTGATTTCAACGAAATGATGACGGCATATTTGGTTGTGAAAAAAACACATTCGCCTATCTTTGACTTCTTTACATTTCACTTTGTGTTTATTGTTTGCGATCGATTTTTATTTGGGGGACTTGGTGGTTTTTAAAGATGGCAGGGGATGAGGTTGGTATTTTAAATGATGGTATGGGGGAGATTGATATCTTAAAAGTGGCATAGGAGTCGTTTTAATCTTCTAAATGTGGCACGGGGATGCTTTTGGTATTCTAAAGGGTGGAGAAGGGTAGGGCAAGGCGGATAGGGCGTGGTAGGGTAGAGCGAGTTTGGGTAGGACGGGGTAGGGAAGTTTAAGGTAGGGTAGCGTACGTTACAGTAAGGCAAGGTAAAGTAGGGTACGATAGAGTAGGACAAGGTATCATAAAGTATGGTAGAGTAAAATTTAAAATTTTAAAAGCATTTTTTAAACTTTCAAACATTACAAAATCTATTCTGACATATTATACTACAAGACTATTGTTGCTGTTTGCCCATTTGTTGTGTTTTAGTCTTGCTACGTCAAAATTCGAAAAAGTCGACGGACTTTGTGCAAAAATATTTACTCTGTGTACTCGTCTAATAGCATTTTTTATGTTTTGAAATTGTCTAATTATACTTTTTTGAAATTAAAAAAAATTTTTTTTGGGGTTGGTGGGGGGGGGGAGATAAATCAAAATTTTGTGGTTTTTTCTATTTTTTTATTTTTTTGTTGTTGGTTTTACTTTTCATTTTTAAAGTTAAAACGTTGAAACATAAGTTTTTGTCGCTTTTTAACACAGATTTTCACAATAAAATACGACAAGACTTTTTAGGCCTTTAAAATGACATTTTTAATCAGAGTATATGAAAGTTATGTTAATTTCTAACTTTATTCTTTCATTTTATCTAGTTTTTTTTTATTTTACTCTACTCTAATGTACCCTTTCCTACTTCTAGCCTACCCAACCTTTACCACTACTTTACCTTGTCTTACTCTACCCGTTCTACCTTATTATACTCTAACCTGCCATATTCTACCCCCCCCTATTATACCATAGACTACCCTATCCTACTTTCTTCTATCCTTCCTATAGAAGAGGGTAGGTTAGGGTAGACTTACCTTATTTTACCTTCACTCATAAAGCAAATAAAAGTAATCAAGCTGCTTTTTTATCGCATCGAAACTGAACTCATTAGCTACACGAATGTTGCAAACGTTCCCGTAAACTTTAAACAGTTATTTTTTTTTTGGTTCTGTCGTTGAAATCGCGTCGCTGACGTTGAAATGGGCAGCCGGCTTCGCGATTTGACCGCAAAATCGAAAAAAAAAGTTTTTCGTGGGTATCTTTGTGGTCTTGCCGATATTAGTGATCTATGGGTTTTGACATGGAGTTCTTCGTCTCTTTGTTATCAATAGTGTTTTGGCAGGGGATTTTTGTGATTGGAAAGGACATTTTCACATGTTTTGAAGGAGTTTTAAGGCAGTTTTGACATTTTTTGATGACATTTTGGACAAGCAGTTATAGCCGCTTGCTATTGTTTATTCTTGAGAGGGTAATTATTTTAATGTTAGGGCTTGGGCGTGCGATTGTAATAATTTCAGGGGTTGGTTGGGTAATTTTTGCAATCTCTGGGTTTGGGCAGGTAAGTTTTGCAATTTCAGAGTCTGGGCCGGTAATTTTTGAAATATCAGTGTTAAGGCGGGGTGATTTTGATTGGTGGTGGTAAAATCTGTTTTTACCTTGATTTTTTTCAAAATATTTTAATGGTGGTGGTTAAACTAAATAAAAAAATTTTTCGGGTATGTAGGGGAGGGGGAAATCTATTTTTTTTTGATTCTCATATAATCATCTGTGTCATATCATACTAAAGGTATTAGTATAAAAACGTCATTAGTAATGTAATTACACTGATATGGCGTTTTTATGCTTACTTTTGGCTTTTATTTATATGTGTCATTATATTATTATATGATAATACTGTGTGGCA